ACAATGTGAAGAGGTTAGTTCTGCACCGATGGGCCAGAGATGTAAAATTTAGATAGAGATGTGGACGATAGTTACCTGAGCAATGACAGACTTTGCTTTTCACCTTTTAAGATGTTGATCTTATGCATTTTAAACAGGGCTGAGAAAAGTGGAAAGCAGGTCAAGGTCTTGGTTTGAGCTCGCCTATGTTCGATCTCTAAAGCTTTAGGGCATAAAATAGGATGGGAGATTATATAGTTTAGCAACACAGAGTGATTGTTGAGCCTCCTCCTGTGGACCATCCATTTATTTCATGTGGTATTTTCTAGAATATGTGTATGTGTGTGTGTGTATTCTGAGAGTTTGGGATTTTGTGGGTATATGGGTTTAACAAATGCATGCATGGTCACTCAACAAATTAATAAATTTCTTTATTGCAGAAGTTGTCATAGGCTTTAATGTATTCAGATGCATTATGAATCTTCCAGAGAGAGGTGAAACATGTGACATTTCCTAAAAAAAATTGTTCAAGGAATAACACTGAGGGCTAAAGGGGTACAGTGCCTATGTTGGGAAATTTTTCTCTCACATACTATTCACATGAAATCCTGCTACTGTAGGGACTCTGGCCTTCCATTTCTCAGAACATCCAGTAAAATGAGTAAAGAAGAAGCTTTTTTGACTGGATTCTTCTTAATGCAGTAGCAGTGCCTGCCTATGTAAATTCACATTGTGGTGAGTACAATGTGAGTTTTGGCACCTGCCTGTATGAAATAAATTATAACTTTACCATTTACTAATGGTGTAAACTCAGGTGTCTGTGCCTCAGTTTTCTCATCTATAAATAGTAACAATAATTAATGTACCTAATCTCATAGCTTGCAGTGAGGATTTAATCAGATAATAACTGGGATGCAATTAGTATGGTAAATTCTCAATAAATATTACCTTAAGTTATAATTATTTTAAACCTGATAAGTGACTTATATTTAGAACATATAAAGAATCTTGTAACTCAGTAATAAAAGGACATAATCCAATTCCCCAAATTAAAAAAGAAAAAAGGATTTGAGTAGACATTTATCCAAAGAAGGTGTACAAATAGCCAATAAGCACGACAGCATTAATGATGTTACGACAAGATGCATAACATCATTAATCACCAGAGAAATGTAAATCAAAACCACAGTGAGATACCACTTCCTCCCACTAGGGTGGCAATAATCAAAAAGACAAGTAATAACTGCTGAAGAGGACAGGGAGACACTAGAACCCTCCTACATTGCTTGTGGGAGTGTAAAATGGAGCAGCTGCTTTGGAAAACAGTTTGGCAGTTTCTAAAACAGTTAAACATACACTTAACACATGACCTGTCAATTCCACATCTAGGGATATACCCAAGAGAAATAAAAATATATGTTCACAGAAAAACTTGTACATGTGATGTCATAAAAGCATTATTCATAGTAGTCACAAAGTGAAAACAAGCCCATATGTTCATCACAGATAAATGGATGAAGAAAATAGGATATAACCATAGAGTGGAATGTTATTCAGCAACAAAAAGAAATGCATGATACGTGCTACAATGTAAACGAACCTTGAAAACATCCCGGAAGAAAGAAGCTTATCCCAAATGGCATGCGTTGTAGAATTCTGCTATGTGAACCACCCAAATAGCCAGATCTATAGAGACAGAAAATAGATTAGTGTTTGTTTAGGGGAGTGACTGCTAATGAGTTTTGATTTAGAGTGATAAAAATACTCTAAAGTTAACTTGTAATAATTGTGTTAACCTGTGACTAGACTAAACTCAATGAATTACATACTTTGAATGGGCGAATTGTATAGTCTGTGAATTATATCTTGATAAGCTGTTAAAATTATAATAATCATATTATAATATAATTATGATGATCATTAAGCAGAATGGCTGGCATTAGATTGTGAGACATCCCAATTTGTAGAAATGTGAGTATCTATTGGATCACTCCCATAACTGTTCATTGTGATGTGGACTAAAATTTCCCAGTGAGGTCTGAAATGAAGGAATGGATCTAAGTTCAGAAGCACTGAAGTGCCTTAGTCCAGGCCAGTAGAAACTAGAATCCCGTGTTTTCAGGATGTTGGTTATTGTTGGGAGTAAACTGAGGCCTAATTTACTTATTTCAGTGTTTGTATATAGATGTAGAAAGCAAGCTTGACACAATTCATTTGTCTTTGTCAAGTGGTTATGATGTGACAGAGGTCTGTTTCCTCTTTATAACTGGAGACCTTGAAGTGTATGGGTTATTAGATAGATAATCAAAAATAAGAACTGAGAAGACTTTGGACTGTGGAGAAACCACACTTTTATCATTTCCTTGGCTTTTTCAAATCTTGAAGCAAGAAACATGAGTATAGGGTAAACATTCTGCCTCTAGGTATCTGTAGCAGAGAAGTCTCTGTTACATTCAGTGTTGGTCATTTAAATGTGTCCTGATGATATTAACAAACAAATGGAAGGTTCTTCTTTTTCATCCTAGTGACGTCTACACAAATGTCTGAAAACACAAGAGATAAGAGTCTTTTGGCCTTAAGAAGAATATTTGAGTTGCAGAGGAATCTCCTGTATTTTTAATTCCACTTGGGAGCCTTTTCCTTATCCTGTAAGCTAGCTGCCCGGAAACACCACTATGCCTACTCACCTAGTCCTAGTCTTGGGCCATTCCCTCAGTACTTGGGGAATTTCTTGCCTTCATTCATTCATTCATTCATTCATTCATTCATTCATTCATTCAATTCTTGTTCTTTTTCCCAGCCTAAGTGCTTAGCTTTGTGATTGGTTAAATAACCCAGTGAATGAGTTGACTCTTTGGTATAAGTGGCTAATTTGGCATAATGTATGCTCATTTAAGATAATTTTTAAAAATCCTCTAACCATGAAATTTTTATTTTATTTTTTTTAAATAATAAATTTTATTTTTATATTCCCCATACAATTGCAACCCGCCCATTTTGACCCCAATCCCTCCCCTCCCCCCCCCCCAAAAAAGTGTCTCTGGTTCATAGTTTTTTGTTGATTTTGATTTTCACTTTCTTATAGTTATTCATTTTCCTGGTCCCTTATTTAAGTTTTCTAGATTCCTGCTATGAGTGAGACCATCCGGTATTTTTCTTTTTCTTTCTGGCTTATTTCGCTAAGCATGATCCCTTCCAGCGCCATCCATGTTGCTGCAAATTGCATGTGTTTATCTTTTTTGAATGCTGAGTAATATTCCATGGTGTATATGTACCACATCTTCTTGATCCAGTCATCTATTTTTGGGCATTTGGGCTGTTTCCAAAACTTAGCTATTGTAAATAGTGCTGCTATAAACATAGGGGTGCAGGTGTTCTTTGGAATTGATGTTTCTGTGTCCTTTGGGTAAATACCTAGGAGTGGAATTGCTGGATCCTATGGAAGCTCTATGTTTAGTAGGTCCAGAAATCTCCACACAGCTCTCCATAGTTAACCATGAAATTTTTAAATGGAATTTTTAAAACATGCACAAAAATAGAGACACTTACAAGGAACTCATCTTCAATAATTGTCAGTACATAGTCATTCTTGTTTAATATAGAGTTCCACCAACTCCTCTTCCCCCAGATTATTTTGAAGAAATTCCTAAATAACATGTAATTTCACATATAAAATTTTTGGGTTGCATTTCTAAAAGATAAGGACTTAAAAATATATAACCACTGTATCATTATCATAGGTAAAAATTTAATATAATTCCTTAATATCAAGTGTCTGGTCATTCCTATTTATCTGGTTGTCTTATAACTTTAAAAAATAACTTATGTACTTTCTTTGCATTCAGAGCCTATGAAGGGTCCTACATTTAGATTGGTTGCTGTCTCGCAAGTCTATTTTAATCTACTGTTTTTCCCTTTTCTCTCATTTGTTGAAGCAATTAGTTATTCCTGTTATTCATCTAGTTTTGCTGATTGAACCCTTGTAGTGTTATTTTTTAATAATTAATTTTTTTATTTTTTACATCATTGTTCATTTTTTTTTTAAATAATAAATTTTATTTTATATTCCCCATACAATTGCAACCCCCCCATTCTGACCCCATCCCTCCCCTCCCGCCCCTCACCCCCAAAAAGTGTCTCTGGTTCATAGTTTTTTGTTGATTTTGATTTTCGCTTTCTTATAGTTATTCATTTTCCTGGTCCCTTATTTAAGTTTTCTAGATTCCTGCTATGAGTGAGACCATCCGGTATTTTTCTTTTTCTTTTTGGCTTATTTCGCTGAGCATGATCCCTTCCAGCGCCATCCATGTTGCTGCAAATTGCACATCATTGTTCATTTTTAAACAATATTTGCTTCCCCCCACCCCTTGTAGTGTTATTTAACATGCACTTTTGTCCTCTGAGTTTACTCTAAAATGGTAGATTTGGAGGCATTCTTAGGTTTATATTTGATATTTTGGGGCAGAGCAACATCATAGGTGATTTTTCATGTTTTCAGTTGGAGCCCCGTAATATCTGCTTGCTTTGTGTGATGCAGCATCTCTGATAATCATTGCCTACATCTATTATTGTCTGTGTGGGGGATGGCAACATAGTGATATTCTAATTCTCTTTTCTTCATTTACCAGTTAGAATAGTTCTGTAAAGAGAAGTTTCCCCTTGAACTGTTTATCCTCATGTACAGAACATAAAAATGCAGTATAAATGCTTGATTCTTTCTCTTTATTTACCAGTTTTTAAAATAATGAAGAGGTTGCCTAATCTCCTTCGGTAGAGACTAATGAGGGTTTTGTATTTTAATATTTTAAACTCATGGATTTAAACATATTCAATGCTCTTATATTCATTGCAGTTATTATTCTTATTTGTGCTCAAATTTTCCCATCTTTGGTCAGTGGGAATTCCTTCAAATAGCTTCTGAGATCCTGTTAAAATAACCTAAGTAATTTTTGATAGCTTTTCAGTTTTCTGAGATGACAACATGTTTAAAGCTTGTCTTTATATTTCCTATTCTATTCTAGATCTGAAATATAATCATTTCATCAAGAAGCCCTGGTTCCTTTTAGTGAATGTTGAGAGGCTACAGTATGGCTGCTTGGGTGAGTTGTTTCTATCTAGATTTTTTTTCTAATGGACAAAGATGTGCTCTTTTTTTTTTTCCTAAAGGGGAAACACAGTAGGTCCATACTAATCCTTCAAATTCGAACCTGGGACTATGTGATTTTTGCTTAACCTCATTGAGCATACATTATGTCTCCTTGGTTACTAGTGACACTAATGTCCCTTCTTTGCTGTATCTTACCATAGACGTACATAACTTCCTGTAAAATAATACTGGTATTACCACCAAGAAGATACAGTTACTAAAAAAAAGCTTAAGACTTTTTGGTAGTTGTTTGTGAACTTTGATTTTATACTACTAGAGCTGTACAATCAAATAATTGTATTTCAGGTTACTTGGAATAACTCTCTTTGTGGTTTATCTCCAACTAGAAACATAGGTTCATTTTCTCTTAATGCTCATATTTCACTTTTCGGGATTGATTTTTAAAATTTAATTTTGTTTTATAATTATGTTGAATACCAAGCCAAACCTATACAACAGGTTATATTTAAAGAAGGTTAGCTTCCCTCTACTACTTGTCAAATATCACCGATACCTAGTTAAAAGAGTCACTTCTGTTGACATAAAAGGTTACAATCCTCCCCATGTACTCCTTATCCTGATAGATTTAAACAAAAAATAGTACTTTTTAGTTTTATGGTTTATTAAACACTATTTTATAGAAATAAATATGTATATATATGTGTGTGTATAGATATATATGTATCTCTACTTTTTCTGAGATTAATGGTACTATACTAAACATACTTTATTCTATGATACTATTTTCACTTAATATAGTCTGGAGATTACTCCATGTTTAGAATATTTAGAGATTACTTCTTTCTTTTACAGCTGCCTGGTACTTCATTGGGTGGAGGTATCATAGTTTATATTTTCAGCCCCTGATTAGAGGATATCTGACTTGGTTGTAGACTTTTGATTTCACAAATATTGCTATAATGAATAGCCTGTGCACATGCCATTTTATTTTATTTTTATTTTTTGCCATTGTATCTTGGGATAGAACCGGGATTATTGGATCAAAGGTAAAATGTGTATGCAATTCTGTTAATTATAGCCAGATCCCCCCTCCATATTGGTTGTATGATTTTGTATTCCCAGAAGAAAGGAGAAAGACAAATACCAGATGGTGTCACTTATATGTGGAATATAGAGAAACAAAACTAAAGAAATCAAACCAGTAACTAATCCTAGAAATCCGGGAGCCAAGTGCGGAGAAGTACTATGGACTATGTTGGAGGACTGTGGGTGTCTTGGTGGTGTGTGTGTGGTGATAATAACACTTAAGGGGGAGATCCTATTGCTCCAAATCATATTCAATGTTGTAAACCAATGTTACCTCAATTAAAAAAAAAAAAAGTTTTCACCTTTTCAGATAAAATTCAAATGCCTTAGTGCCACTGGAGAGAATGGACTGAATTTCAGATTATGTACTGAAAAATGTGGAAATTGTCATTTTATTTATTTGGATTCATAGCTTTGGCTCTGTCCACTATGATTGTCAAAGTCAATTCATCTAGGGATAGACATGTAAAGAATAAAGGTGTGTGCATTATTCTAGCTCTCCAAGTTCTCAGAGGCAGCAAGGGGTCAGGCTTAATATTAGCTGTGGTGGTTCTAAAGTGCATCTGCCTGGTGGTTGACTGCCTGTTTGGCTAGGCCCTGTGTGCCATTTGCCACCATAATAAAAACATCACATGAAAGTACTATAGTCCATGGAAACTTCCCACAACTGAGTAGAGCTTTATTTTAATGCCCCACTAAAGTTATCTGGGGTTGTTAGGCATTGTTGTGAATTTTCCCAGTGACCCAGCACTTTTAATGTATATTAAAGAGGACCCTAAATTTTCATGTTTAAAACCGCCTGTTTGTACTATCTTTCCATTTAGGTGCCAATCTTTGGAATATAGGAACTTTATCATCCTTCTTAGTTTCATGAGAGAAATACTACATAAATGTTAAATACCCAAGACATATATTAGATACTCAAAAAGTCAGGCTGTTTGGGATCTTTAAAGAAGTGTCTTCATTTGCCTTATAGGGATAAAATAAAAATGCTCTGCTGGTAAAATTCCTTGGACCTGAAGCATTGTGCCTGATGGCCAGAGCAGTAGCAAATATGCTGACAAGCTTGGACAGGGAAAAAAAAATACTCCAACACGTTGAAATGTCTATGTATTGCTGCTTCAGGGAAATGCTATTTTTAAAGAAAATGAAACACATGATTTTAAGGTTTATGGATGCAATCCAGGCCTTTGAAGATGGGAAGAAGATCTTAATTAGAAAGAAATGGCAAGATTGAATGCTTTTATGAAGAACCCAACTTTAAGAGGTATGTTTATCATAGATGCAGATGATATATATTGTGTACTGGCTGAAGCCCTTCTTTGACAAAACCAAAGCCTTTAAAGTTATTCGGTACATCTGTCCACAAGTTTGTTCAGCATCTAATGAGCAGGCATTAATCACGTAAAACTTGGAGCCAGTTCATAAAGGACAATGAAGATGATTTAAGGCTTGGAAAATACTACAAGGAAATGTTAAAACAATTCACATTATGAGCTTGGCAGAAAGGAGATGAGGAGTGAGGATTTCTAGTCAATGCAAGGTTATTCTTGGTTGGATGGCATGCTTAATGAGAAACTGTCCCCAGGAATTCTAAAATTTCTCTTTTGTTGGTTTTATTATAAAATTATTTTCATAGAAAAAATAGGAAAGCAGAATGTGTCCTTAAACGTTATCACCCAGAGGTGCTTCACAAAACTGAAATGGAGAGGATGGGCAGAATGTGTGGAACTAAGGCTTTCTTAGACAGAAAGGATATATGCTGGGCCTTGGAGCATTTCTCATAATTGAAATGAACTCATGGCTTGTATCCTTATTTATCTAATATCTGTCTTCCGAGCTAGCTATAAACTTCAGGAAGGTGGGATTATGTATATCTTTTTTTTACCACTGTATTCTTATAACATAGTGCCTGGCATATAACAGGTGTTTAATATACATTTTGTACACAAATGGGGAATAAATATGCATATAATATTTTAAACAGAAGTGGGATTATGCTATATATGCTGTTCCATAACTCCCTTGCTTTTAACAAATTATTCTGACAATCTTTTCATTATTAATATAAACATTAATAATGTAGTTATTAATAGTCTGTGCTGTCATTTAAGTGGCAGCAAGGTATCCTGCCATGTGTGTGTGACTGCAGGTTTCTAACCATTCCTTTATTTAGGGGCATTTAGGTTTTTTCCAGTTTCTGGCAGTGCAGCAATAATCACGGTTGTAACTAAATCCTTCTTTACAAGAATTCTAAAAAGAGACTTTTACAAGAGATGACACTGAAGGTCTTGAAAACATGGTAAGTTCTGATTTAGCCAGTATTGCTGTAGTGTTCCATGGGATTCATGACTTCAGGGTCAAATTTGGCCTAAATTCTTATACATGTATATATGATTGTCGTAGTCCATTCACGCTGCTATCACAGAAATACCATTGACTGGTTGGTTTAAAAAACATTTATTTCTGGGTCTCCCCGGTGGCGCAGCGGTAGAGCGCTGGGTTGTGAAGCTGCCTGCAGCCTCTGCAGTGCCAGTTTGATCCCCGACTGCCGGGGGAGGGTCCCACATGGTGCGCAGACCTCTCCTGCCGCCCGCTGCTCCCCTCAGCAGTGTATTTCGTCAGTCTGCCTGTTCTCCCCGCTCTGGCTCTGGTGAATTCTCTCACCCTCCCGTGCTTCTGACTGTACCCAGTGCTTGTATAAAATAAATAAATCTTTAAAAAAAAATTATTTCTCACAGTTTTGGAGCCTTGGAAGTCCAAGATCAGGGAGCTGGCAGATACAGTATTTCAGTGTCTGATGAAAGCCCGCTTCTGCCTCATGGATGGCCATCTTCTTGCTATGTCCTCACATGGCAGAAGAGGTAAGAGAGCTTTCCTGGGGTTCCTTTATAAAGATCGTAATCTCATTCATGAGGGCTCCACCCCTATGACCTAATCACTCCAAAGGCTCCACCTCCACAATGCCAACAATTTGTAGATTAGGTTTCAACATAGGAATTTGGGGGGCATATAAACATTTAGTCCATTGCAACAACTATTTACTCTAAGGTACTCATATACTCATATTCCTTAATGGATGGTAAGTTTGTAAAAATTAAAGAGGGGAGAAGTAAATCCTTTTGAGATAGGAGAGAAAATAACATATTTTGAAAGAAATTGAAGTATCAATCTGCTTTTGTCATCTAAGGTTTATAAGCAAATTGAACCATGGTTCAAATTCATGGAAGGTATCAACTCTTTTCTCTAACTTGGGTGAGTGTACTTGTTTTACATGAAAATCTAAAGTCAAGATCAAATTTTTCTTTTTTTTTCTTTTTTTTTTTTAAAGATTTATTTATTTATCTATACAAGCACTGGGCACAGTAGGAAGCGTGGGAGGGTGAGAGACTTCACCAGGGCCAGAGCAGGGAACAGAACAGGCAGACCGATGAAATACACTGCTGAGGGGAGTAGCGGGCGTGGCAGGAGAGGTCTGCGTGCCATGTGGGACCCTCGCCGGTGGACGGGCATTGAACCGGTACAGCCTTGCAGCCCAGCGCTCAACCCCTGCACCCCCGGGGAGGCCCTCAAATTTTTCTTAAAGATGAAAGTAAGAGTTTTTAGAGGTGTTACTCCTTATGAGGTGCTGACTTATTTAATTTTAAGGAAATGAGTCATTTCTGAGGAGTGATTCATAATGCAAATGTCTGCGTATGGAATTCTATCTTTCCAGTGACTTTCATGATCAAACTGAAGATGTGTTCTGGAAAAAAAAATGCATTCAAATGCTACTCTTAGAATCTAGACACCAGATGCTGTTTTCTTCAATTCCCATACTCTTTATATAAGTCAGGTTGTTCTAATTTTTTCCTCCATTGTAATTGTGGCTAGTTTTGCCATGATTTTTAATGAGTTTTGCACATTAAAAAGCCTTAACATTGAGCCCTTCCTATTTGGGGATAGTGCCTCTACTCTCATTTCTTGATTTTTTTTCCTCTCATTAGACTCTGGGTTCCTGGCTGCCGCCTGATGGTGGTGTTCACTGTTCCCTTTTTTTTTTGCTCTCTGTAGTGTCTGTCTGGGCACTACAAGTTTCTTTAGGACTGTTTTTCTCAGCCTACAAATTTAACAAATTTCTTGTGTCCCTAATTTGATGATTCCCTTTAGGACCAGGGGTGAGGGGGGACTTGGGAGATGCTTCTCCTTTCCTTGTCAGTTGGCAATCACAGATCTTGCTGGAAGAAGGGGTAGCATCCCTAAAGCTAAAGTTAGGCAGAATGACTTGAGTAAGACATAGTCCATGTATACAGGGATCAGTTTATACATGGCAGGTCACAGAGGAGACTCTGGTTGAGAGAGACTATACTTCACCTCAGGGCATTTGCACATCCTGTTCCCCCTGCCAGTATCACCCTTCCTTCTTTTATTCTCATGGCTGTCATAAACTCTGAAAGGCTGGACACCACTTTGCTTGCAAGCTAACAAGTTAGCCTGCTACTGTTTCATGGATGCTAGTAGAAGACATGACACTCCTGGGTCAGAGACAAAGGAATTTATTGTTGACATTAATAGTCCTAGCCAGAGTATTGGCAGTTTCTTGCACTGGTTCCCTGAGTTCCAGTTCCCACAAGGAGGTAAGAAGAGAGCCAGGTGATCCCAGCACATGATCCCTGAGGCTGGGAAACCTGAATCACTTCAGGTGAACGGTAAGCATGGCTAGCCTTTCCTCCAGGGGGAGACATTATCTTTATTGTACTGGACAGCAAGTGACTCTGAGCTTCACTTTGGAGATATTATCTCTGCCTTCCATTAATGTTTCCTACACAAACATCTTTAAAAAACTATACAGAACATGGAATATTACTCAGTATTCAAAAAAGATAAACACATGCAATTTGCAGCAACATGGATGGCGCTGGAAGGGCTCATGCTCAGCAAAATAAGCCAGAAAGAAAAAGAAAAATACCGGATGGTCTCACTCATAGCAGGAATCTAGAAAACTTAAATAAGGGACCAGGAAAATGAATAACTATAAGAAAGTGAAAATCAAAATCAACAAAAAACTATGAACCAGAGACACTTTTGGGGGGGTGAGGGGCGGGAGGGGAGGGATTGGGGTCAGAATGGGGGGCTGCAATTGTATGGGGAATATAAAAATAAAATTTAAATAAAAAAAAACTGTACAGAACAAAGGTAGTCAGTGTTTTTTTTTCCCCTAAGTTGCGTGAAAGAACAGGCGGCCTGTGGAAAATCATCTGCTAACAATAAGTTGCTCTCAATTCCTTTGGTTTTCTGTTCCAGTGTCACTTTGTCAGTGGTGCATAGTGAGCATCAACTATCAAACAGCCACGTATGAGCAGTTATATTCAATAACTCCTCATCACTGGGATGCAAAACTGCATATACTTAGCTTTATGTTGTTGCCTGCAAGCTGCAGACTCTGATGACAGAGACTTTGTGTTATTCTCTGTTGTATCATCAGAGCCTAGCATAATGCCTGGTACATAGTAGACGTTAAATAAATATTCAGTGAATGAATGAATTACCATCTGTCAAGTTACCAAAAAAGTCTTATTTTTACTTTCCAAATATAAAATTATATTAAACACACTCCATCTACAATTTCCTTGCCCCAGCTCTGGCTGGCAGAAATTTTGTCAATTCTGTGTAGACTCCTGACTTTCTGACCTGTCGCTGGCGCTAGGAAGAAGAGCCCCTAGTGCGTAACCCCTCCTATACTCTTGTCCAGCTCCTAATCCTGGCTCCTTACCTCGCAATCCTTTATCTTTCACTGCTTTTTGTCCCGCATCAGACCATGGCAACCCTCTTAAAATTCACCCAGAGTGCAGGTAAACCGACTCTCAGTATAAAAGCCTGGATATGTAGTTTCGGCTAATTTCTGTGGTCTAAGTGCTCTCACCACAGCTGACTGCAAGATACCAATGGTTTAACAACTGGTTTGCAAAATTCCTAATGTTTAACAGTCTACTCTCATGAGCTGGTAGGAGTTGGCTCGAGTACACCCTCATAATAAGAAATTAACAACATATTATGCAATATTGGGATTATTTTTTACTTGATAAGATGATATAAAGGTTTAAAAAAATCTGTCCATGGATCAAGAGAACACCTTTACCCTGAACTGGGTTTCTCACTGCTTATTCCTTATTCCCATCTCCTCCGCCCACAGTGTTTTCCACACCATAGTTTGCATCAGGATTACCTGGAGGGGTTGTTAAAACACAGATGGTTGGGACGCACCCCCAGAGTTTCTCTGTTGGTGGGGCTTGAAAATTTGCATCTCTAACAAATTCTTGAGAATCTGCAGCTCCCACGTACTGCTGCTGTGCGTCCTGGGCCCATGCTCTGCGAACCACTGCCCAGGTGGGGCCATGTGCCAGATATTTTGCTCAAAATCTATTTCCAAGTGCTACACGGAAGAGGTACGTTTTGTAAATAAATAGTGTCTCTGGACCAGATAGAGGAAAAGCCACAAAATGAAAGAAAAAAAGTTCAAAATGTATTTATAAAATAGCTAACAGATGGGAATGCTAATAAGTAACTAAGGCTCATTGCTCCAGGTCTTCAAGATGGTGAAAAGCGAGTTTCCAGGTGTGTGTGAAGAAATAATCCCTCAGTTTATAACTGCCAGAGACAATTTTGTAGTATTGGGTTTCTCATAGATAAGGTGGAGCTGGAAATGGTTTTGATGAGGGTATGAATCTTGAAGCTTTCTGGGTAACCTCTTTCAATGAAACGGAGCACTAGTTCACTTATTTAAGGGCCCGCATCTCAAACAACCTTGAAAAAATTATTTATCCATTACCATGTGGTACTCGTGCAAATAAGAGGGCTTGGGCAAAGAGGGAACACTTAGCCTTGATTAGATGGGACATATTAGCTTCCTGAAATTTTCTCACCTGTTTAAGCAGCTCTCAATCACAAATCCTGACAGGATAGACACTCATTGTAGGAAGGATTAACAGGGCTCGGCTAAACCCGAAGGGTGGCACACTTACCCTAAATCTGCAGGGCAGTGCGTGGTTCTCTGTATCGCTCCAAGATTACAGTTTGCAAAGACCCTGCCTTGTGGCCACTCCCTTTGTAATTCTTCAGAGGTCGATGCTATATAAGACTTACTATTCCGAGCCTGGCATCTTTGCAACTGATTTAACTGCAGGGCTGGCTAATTCTCATACCACATGGCAAAACAAGATAGGAATGTGGTTCATCACTCCTGTGGAACAGGAGTGGAACGGGGTGGCAGTCAAAGCCCAGTTTTCTGGAGTTTAGCTGTTGTTTGCTGGGAGCAGATCTGTCCATGCACTCAGGCAATTTGTTTCAATAAGCTTTATTTGAAAGAGGTAGGGAGGAAAGATAGTTCATTATCAGATAGATACCTCCTTGGCACAGTAGCCTCTGACAGAATTGTTCTTTTTCACTGGGGAAAGGAGAGAGACCAGACCTCCTATGCATTGCTTTAAAAAAAATGATAGCAATAGTTTCAGAGATTTCTATGTGACATCTTTAATTCTATGAGGCCACTTTCCTCTTGGCCTGATGTAACCGCCAACCGTTACCTAGGCCAGTGGGTTTCTTTACCCTTCTAGAAGAACAACACCCAGGGTATTGGAGAAGGTTGAGCCTCCAGGAGGAAGTTACTTATCTTCAATCTGAGGAATCAGTAGCTTCCATTATGACCCTGGATATCTCTCTTCATATCCAGGGTCCCCTTGTCCAGGGTAACTTCAGATACAGTTGAAAAGATGCCACCACCAGCAGTGCTCATGGAAGTAATTAACGGTGCCCACCCCAGTAGTTCTCAAAGTGTGGTCCCAGCAGCAGCAGCAGCCGCCGCCCTGGGAACTTGATTTAATTGCAAGTTCTTGGGCCTTACACCGACCTGTTGGATGAGGAATTCTGGGGATGAGGCCCTGCATTTTGTGTCTTAAACAAGTCCTCCAGGGGATTCTGATATATGCCAAAGTTTAAGGCCCACAGACCCATGTGAACTTTATCTCCCGCAGGTATTCTGTAGCAGTAGACAGCAGTAGTTTTGAGACATCTGGGATGAGCTGTTTCTTGGCAGTCATCCTTACACTCTGTTTGCATTTTAAATAATACTCATTTCTTCCCTGGCATCTCTGCCTAATGATAAAGTGGCACTCTGGCTGTTTAAAAGGTAAGTGAAACTGTTTCTTGGTAAGTATAAATGTAAAGGCATATAAATAAAGGGAGACAAGCTCTTTAGTATCCATCTTTTAGCAACCGTGATTGTGTGCCTGGAACATTCGCTCTGATTAACTCTCCCCTCCACTCCAAATCAGAACATTATTATACATCCTTTCAATTGGTTTGGAATCCTACTTTAGGCTTTTCAGAATGGTTTGTGATTGCAACATGGTGGCAGGGCCTGGTTTCTGAAGCGCCCTTTGGATCAGGATTGACTTAATGACCGCATGCAGGAGCATCGGCCCTAGGTAAAGGCGCTTTCTCAAGGAGTAGACTGCTGCTCACCTTGTGTCATCACCTGCACCCGTGAATGCTTGCCTTGGCATTTCTGATAGATTTGAGGGTGCATCCAACTTTTTCTTCCCCGAAGGAGTCTGACAAGTCTGACTCATAATTGATGGTGATGTTGAAGTAAAATTTTGGTAGGCTGGAAAATGGGTGGAGCTACTACGGAAAAGAAATATTTTTTGGAAGAGCTGGATGATGAGTTACCATTTGGTTAATAGCGTTGTGATTGTGAGCAAGTCACTGAGCCTCTCTTAGCCTTTGTTTTCTTATCTGAAAAGTGGGTATAATACCTAGAAGCCATGCCCTAGGATTCTTGTGAAAACAAGTAAAATTATACAAGTAAGGTACTTGGCCTGGTGTCTGCAACTGTCTCTGTACTCAGTGACTAGAAGTTTAAAAAGTTATACACTCTGGGTGTAACTATACACACATATACTTTCCTAATCACTGATGTGCATATTTGATCTTGCATGGGTACACACATGTATACACTCACATTTAAGCATTTATAGATAGACAAATATGCACACACATACGCTAACACTCAGGTATACTAATATGTGTAGGAGTAAGTAGGCTATTCCATGAATAGGAGTGATCAGATCAGGACAGATCTCAAACTAAAAAGATTTATTTTTATTTATTTATACAAGCACTGGGTACAGTCAGAAGCGCAGGAGGGTGAGAGAATTCACCAGAGTCAGAGCGGGGAGCAGAGCAGTCAGACGGCCCAAAGTACACTGCTGAGGGGAGCAGCGGGCGGAAGGAGAGGTCTGCGCGCCATGTGGGACCCTCCTCCGGCGGGAGCAGCGGGGATTGAACCAGCGCTGCAGAAGCTGCGGGCAGCTTCGCAACCCAGCGCTCAACCGCTGCGCCACCGGGGAGGCCCCTAATCCTTTTTTTTCTTTCTTTCTCTGCATACACCTTTCCCTACTCATTGTCACTTTTACCTTTAGGTGGGTGATCATCCCCGTTACAACACTAATGTCCTGGAAATTGAGCATTCTCTCCCATCTGAACTTCACTGTGATTTGGGGTGAGGGTGGGATAGGACATCCAGAGCACCAGGCTCCGGGGCACAGTGGTTGCAGGAAAGCATCTAGGAGAGTGGGCTATAGAAGCAGATTCCGGTTGGTACCTCCCTCCCTCCTAGCATGCTTAGGGCTGTCCCGAGTGAGGGAGGCCATCTTGTCCTGTGGTACATGGATAACTCTTATTGAGCTCCTTTCTCTAAGAATCTTGTCTCTCAGCATTTCTTTGGACACGAGTCTTCAGTGATGGAGCAGGACGGCACACCAGGAATGCTTCCCAGACGTCTGTGGTTTGGTCCCTGCTATCTCACCTGCTGTTGCAGGCTCCACTTTCCCTTTTTGTCACTGTGCTACTACATCATGGCTCTTATTTCAAATGCTGCATTTTCTCATGTCTCAGGGCCCTGGCACATGTGGCTTTTTTTCTGCCCAGAATATTCTTCCCACACTCTGGTCTCACCTGTGTTAGCTTACATATTACTTCTTAAGGACACTTCTCTGCTTTCTCCCACACGAAGTTTGTGTCTCAGCTATATACCCCATAATAATTTGTCCTTAAATCTTTAACCATTATATCCTCAGAGTTCTCCACAGTTCTTAGAATATGGGATGTGTTAATATTTGCTGTTGAATAAGCAAGTGCGTGTTATGTGAATGTTAATGGTTGGGAGGAGGGAGAAGGAAATTGACAGTGGATTCCTTTTTTCAAATCTTCTCTATCCTGGTTAAAATTCATTCCTATAGATGCCTAGGATAGAAACTGTTCAAGGAGGGGAAACTGCTATAGTTGGGAAAGAAAAAAAGTTATTTTCACAGTTTCAGTGAATTTCCTTCAAATTCTGTGGCATGACAAGAATCTCTTATCCTATCAGCCCTGGGGGCTCAATTGTTAGTTTCTGGCTCTGTGAAATGTATCTTTCCCATAAGCTCAGTTGCAAAATGGGTACTTTAGAAACCTTAGAAATAAACATGCATTTTTCCTTTCTGTCTTAGTAGGTGGGAGCACCAAGAATTTCTGGGAATTTGAACATTTCTTTCACAACACTGTGCAGGAAGTGGTTTATCATTTTACTTTGAGTTGATGTTCCTGGTAATAACACTCACATACCTAGGATGGATGCAATTGTTTAGCTGTCACCCCCAAAGTTAGTCATACCATTGATCTGACATCAGAAAGTACTTATCCTATTGATCTAGTGTCAGATGGGTGGTATAATAGTAATAATGGGCTTGGATTGACAGCTTGAGTTGACAGATTATCAAGTCACATTTTCCCACAGCCAAACTGCTGATGGGCTTGCAACTTTTCCTTGCCTACGCAGATCTTCTTGACCTTGAAACTTTTCCTTGCCCACGCAGATTCTCTTGACCTTTAACTTCTTGTTGCATGCATTCAACCCAGTCCTTATATAATGACCCTGGAAATGCTCCCAATTCAGCTTATTAAAATGCACAAATGGAGAGTCTAGAATGATCTAAACTTAGCTGAGATCATTCCACACAAGAGGTAAACAGCAAATATTTGTTGATTGGATGAATAAATGAATCTAAATTTATGGCTTGTATACCAAGAGAGGTGGTCAGGGACAGTCAAGTAACATTTACCGTGGCATCTTGGGCTTTCAGGGATAGATTGTCATAGCAGCTGAGACCAGCCTGCATCAGCCATGACAAATATTCATGGTCACTTGGGGCACTGACCAGAATGAGGAGGGCAGGCAGCTCATTATGTGAATTCAAAGTAGGAGTGACTTGAGAAATCCAGGCCCGAGGCCTCCCTCTTCAAAATTTAGCTGTTTGGTTAAACAGCTGTTTTCCTCTACAGCGTGTTCTCAAACCACCACTACCACCACTGGTGGCAGCAGCAGGAGGAGCAGCAGCAGCAGCAGCAGCAGCAGTAGTCGCCTCAGGGAATTTCGCCTCCACCCTAGTCCTGCTGAATCGGAATCTGCATTTTAACAAGATCCCCAGGTGATACTCATTAGATTTTGAGAAGCCCTGGTTTAAAAGTTTCATCCTTTTTTAAAATATGAAATTCTTCATAGGAGAGTTTTTAGACTAGGTCTCAGGTTCTTAACCTGCAGAAGTGACATTTAGAAGGTCAGACTTTTTAGATGTAAGCAACAGAAACATTTTGGGGTTGATTGAAGTAATTGATTATAAAGACTATTTTGTAGCACTCAGAAGGACTGAGATGATGGGGAGACAGGTTGGGAAACTGCCACGAAGTCTACTAGTGACCTAGGACCTCAGAACAGCTGCACTGTAGAATCAGTTTGGTGAGGGCATTGCTGTGCCCACCACTGAGGCCACCAGGGGTACTACGATACCAGGGGTAGTGTGCTGGAGCCAGCTTATTCCAGCTTTCAAGGGCGGATGGCCTGCCTCTCTTCCCAAATCTGCATTTAGTGATGCCTAATACATTGGAAGCTTAGTATTAGCTGTGATGGGAGTTTTTACACCATGTCAATCGGCATATACTACAAATCAGGGCTTTTTTTTTTTTTTTTTTTGACAGCTGGCTTGTCACTGACTCCATTACTGGTGCCACTGCTGCTCTTGGAAATGGTGCTGTTACTGTGGTTGAGTAAAGGTGGGTATTTATCAGTTCTTCCCTCCTTTTTTTTTTTTTTTTTTTTTTTTTTTTGGTATCACTAACTGGAGAAAAGTGTCATCTCACTTGGTTCTAGATCAGTGTTTTCTACCTTTGGCTGCACAGTGGTATTACCTGGAGAACTTTGAAAATTACTCATGCTAGACTTCCAGCCACAGAAATTCTGATTTAATTTGGGTGAAGGAGTCTCAAAATGTGGTCCCTGGACCAGCATCATCATTGTCATTTGGGAACTTATTAGAGATGCAAATGTTTGGTCCCTACTCCCCATCCTAGACCTGTTGCATCAGAAACTCTGGGGGTGGGCCTCAGAGATCTGTGTTATAATGATCTGATGGAGCTAAAGTTTGACAACCACTGGTCTGGGGTGAAGTGTGGGCCTCTGAACTTAAAAAAAATTCAGGTGTGGCCATGGTTGAAAACTGGTGGGTTAATATCTTATTAAAGGGGCCCTGTGTGTGCTTGCCCTGGTTTATAGGGATAGCAGATGATTCATCTGGAGATGAGACACATAGCCACGGGACGACAGGTTGAGATTTGAGTCTGAAATCTTGATTTGCGGGCAAGATCAACACTTATTAGAAGACTCTTTGGAGAAGGTTCTGGTGGGGGGGGTAAATCTTTTTTTTTTATTTAAATATTTTATTTTATATAATTCTTACATCTTTTTTCATCTTTGCACAATGTATGCATTTTCATTTTGGTTATATTCCCCATACAATTGCACCTCCCCCCTTATTTTGAATCTAGTCCTTCCTTTCCCCCCCACCCCTGTAGTGTGTCTCTGGTTTATATTTGCTTGTTGATAGGGTAAATCTTATCATTGTTTTATTTTTATTTTTTTTTATTTTTTATTTTTTTATTTTTATTTTATTTTTTTAATTAATAAATTTTATTTTTATATTCCTCATACATTTGCAATCCCCCCATTCTGACCCCAATCCCTCCCCTCCCGCCCCCCACCCCCCAAAAAGTGTCTCTGGTTCATAGTTTTTGTTGATTTTGATTTTCACTTTCTTATAGTTATTCATTTTCCTGGTCCCTTATTTAAGTATTCTAGATTCCTGCTATGAGTGAGACCATCCGGTATTTTTCTTTTTCTTTTTGGCTTATTTCATCTTATCATTGTTTTAAAATGAGTGAAAATATGGCTTTAATTTCAAAAAAATCTGTGCATTCTTGTAGCAGCAGGAATGGACGGAGCAGGTTCTCTATGATTCCAGCAGATGGGTGAAGGAGGAGTCCTGGAGCCCTCAGTGGCTTTTCAGGCTTTTATTGGGATTTACCAGGTACACAGCAGGCAGCGGTGCTGGGGGGCCGGGAGGCTGGCAGGCCTCCCAGCCCCCAGCAAGTCTTTATGTGGGCTCTCAGGTCTTCTCTGCTCGCTGCTCTCGTGGTTCCCGTTCCTTCTCCCTTTCTGCTTCTGCTGGCATCCCCGTGACCCCGCCCTTATAAGCACAGTCTTAGCCCAGGTGAATCCCATCTATATACGCCCACACCCTACTCCAGGTGCCTGCCAACAGGCATGCATTCAGGACCTCAGGGATCCATCATCTCTCCTGATGGCGGGAGGGCAGAAAAGCCTGATATCATTTTCACTTACCCTACAATTCTCTTCAACTCCAAAAGTTTTGGGAGGTAGGTATATTTATCCCCATCTCTCAGATGAGGGAGCTGAGAAACTGAGTAAATTGCCTGTACTTGTAAATGGTAGACCTGGGATTTGCATGTAGGACTATTTGTTTGTCAAATTAACTTTTTTTTTTTTTTAAAGATTTATTTATTTATTTATACAAGCACTGGGTACAGTCAGAAGTATGGGAGGGTGAGAGAATTCACCAGAGTCAGAGCAGAAGCAGAGCAGGCAGACTGACGAAGTACACTGCTGAGGGGAGCAGCGGGCGGCAGGAGAGGTCCACGTGCCATGTGGGACCCTCGCCCGGTGGCCGGGGAACGAACCGGTACTGCAGAGGCTGCGGGTAGCTTTGCAACCCAGTACTCAACTACTGCACCACCGGGGAGCCCTGAAATTTATTTATTTTTTTAAATAATTAATTTTATTTTTATATTCCCCATACAATTTCAGCCCCCCATTCTGACCCCAATCCCTCCCCTCCCGCCCCTCACCCCCCCAAAAGTGTCTCTGGTTCATAGTTTTTTGTTGATTTTGATTTTCACTTTCTTATAGTTATTCATTTTCCTGGTCCCTTATTTAAGTTTTCTAGATTCCTGCTATGAGTGAGACCATCCGGTATTTTTCTTTTTCTTTTTGGCTTATTTCGCTGAGCATGATCCCTTCCAGCGCCATCCATGTTGCTGCAAATTGCATGTGTTTATCTTTTTTGAATGCTGAGTAATATTCCATGGTGTATATGGACCACATCTTCTTGATCCAGTCATCTATTTTTGGACATTTGGGCTGTTTCCAAAGCTTAGCTATTATAAATAGTGCTGCTATAAACATAGGGGTGCAGGTGTTCTTTGGAATGGATGTTTCTGTGTCCTTTGGGTAAATACCTAGGAGTGGAATTGCTGGATCATATGGAAGCTCTATGTTTAGTAGGTCAAGAAATCTCCACACAGCTCTCCACAGTGGTTGGACCAGTTTGCACTCCCACCAACAGTGCAGAAGAGTTCCTTTTTCTTCACATCCTCGCCAACATTTGTTGTTGCTAGTTTTTTTAATATGTGCCATTCTCACTGGTGTCAGGTGGTATCTCATGATAGTTTTGATTTGCATTTCCCTGATGACAAGTGATGTTGAACATTTTTTCATATGCCTGTTGGCCATTTGCATTTCCTCTTCAGAGAAGTTTCTTTTTAGCTCTTCTGCCCATTTTTTGACTGGATTATTTTCTTTGTTGTTGTTGAGTCTCATCAGCTCTTTGTAGATTTTTGTGATCAGTCCTTTATCATTAGTGTTGTGTGCAAAAATGTTCTCCCAGTTGGTGGGGTTTCTCTTTGTTTTTGTTATTGTCTCTTTTGCTGTACAGAAGCTCTTTAATTTGTCAAATTAACTTTTACACTCATGATTTCTTCTCTGTGCCATTTTGTGATTGAAAAAAAAAAATCGGAAACTTTTTTTGGTAGCAAGTTGGTGAAGTTACACTATAGGAGGGAAACCAATGCAGAAAGAAAGCCAGTAAAGATGAGCTAGCTGATCAGAAAGCCAAAGGAGGTCATTTTGTTCTTGAATGCTTTAAACAGAGTCAATAAACCATCATTGACTGGGAAAGAGACAAGCTGACAACTGAGGAAATAATCCTGAATGTAGTTTTTTTTTTTTATTTTTTTTTATAGAGGCATGTTTTTATTTATTTATTTATTATATTTGTTTGTTTTGTTTATACATGCACTGGGTACAGTCAGAAGCGCGGGAGGGTGAGAGAATTCACCAGAGCCAGAGTGGGGAGCAGAGCAGGCAGAAGGACCGAAGTACACTGCTGAGGGGAGCAGCGGGCGGCAGGAGAGGTCTGCGCGCCATGTGGGACCCTCCTCTGGTGGCCGGGGAGCAGCCGGGGATCGAACCGGCGCCGCAGAGGCCGCGGGCAGCTTCGCAACCCAGCGCTCAACCGCTGCACCACCGGGGAGGCCCCTGAATGTAGTTTTAATGCTCACTGGTTCCTGGTTCCTGGATGTGCAAATTCCAAGAAAAGTTTAGGATGATTTAGATCAACTAAAGCCTGGGGAAGGAATTATGTTTAGATTAAGCAGTCACTGGTCACACTTGAAAGGTATGAAATAACTTTTATGAAAAAGGCCTTGAAATTTGAAAAGTTTTATTTGATATATTGCTTTTTCTGTGAGTTAAGTAAGACAAGTGTGATTTTATTTTACTGAGAGGAAGCTGAAGCTTAAGAAGGTTCTAGAATTTTCCTTAGGTCATAGAGATGATAATTGGAATCCTGTGGCTGTAATTGGAATTTTCTGACTTTCTCTCATGCCACAGTACCCAAATAGATGTGGGGACTTATAAATAGTTAAATATTTTTTGCAAATTGTAGATTTCTTTTGTAGTTACTAGTGCTAATACTGGTTAATGTTCATGCTTAGTGATTTAAATAAGACTTTGATGTCTGAGTTCTTGCCCAGAGATTCTGATTTAGTTGGCCGAAGGTGTGGCCTAGTATTGGGGGTTTTTAGAAGGCAATTCTGATGTGCAGTAAAGTGAGAACCATTGGACTAGAAATTCCCTATCTCTGGCTCTATTTTCTTGCCCTTATCCTGTTTTGGGAACATTTTGGGGAACAAAGGGCTATAAAAACAGCACTCTCATTAATCTGTTAGGATGATAGCAGTTGGGGAGCACCCTGGTTAATTCACACTTATAAATGTGAGACATAAATTTCACACCCATCTAGTCAAATGTGGAGGCTCTCCTTGTCTTTCACTCATCCAGAGACTTTCTTTGGCCTGTGTAGGGTAAGGAAAAATGTCAGGCTTTTCTGCCCTCCCGCCATCAGGATAGATGATGGATCCTTGTGGTCCTGAATGCATGCCTTTATTGGGTAAATCCCAATAAAGCCTGCAAAAGCCACTGAGGACTCTGACTCCTCCTTTACCCGGTCTGCATGGGATCCTAGAAAACCTGCACTGTGTCCTTCCTGTCCTTACAGCCTGTCATAGCTGACATTCAAGTACTTGCTAATTTCCACCTTTGTCAATGAGACTTTCAGTTGTTCTGATGAAGTAGCAGTTGAGTCTTTGTCTTGATGACAGCCGTTAATGAGGGCAGTAGGAAATTGTTCTTGAATTTTTACAAGTATGTTTGTGCTTCAGTTTCAACACCTGTAAAATGGGGATAGCAACACCAATCTCTTAAAGCTGGTGCAAAAGGTAGGTGGGCTAAATTTATGTAGAGCACCTAGAATCCTCCATGGCACTAAGTAACTCTTTCCTAAGTGCTAGCTATTACAGCTAGTCACCCTGGATTTGACTTCCTTCTTGGAATTTAGGCTCAACTAAGGCATTCAAGAATG